AGATGGCCAGGAAAATGAAAAGTCTTGAATAGAATATAAAGAATATACAGGGACTAGGTGGTCACAAAAGTGTTTCATTCAGTGATCTATGCATGTTCCCTCACATCCATGAGGGTCAAGACCCCAAAATTTGAGAAATATGATGGACACGGCGACCCTATCGCCCACTTGAAAAGGTATTGCAACCAGCTGAGGGGTGCAAGAGGAAAGGAAGAGCTGCTGATGGCTTACTTTGGGGAAAGCCGTGTGGGGGAAGCTTCCGAATGTTTCATTGAGCAAGACATCTCTCATTGGCATGTTTGGGATGACATGGCCCAGGCTTTCGTCAAACAATTTCAGTACAACATTGGTATTGCGCCGGATCATAATTCTTTGTCCAATATGAAGAAAAAGCCGACCGAAAGTTTTAGGGAGTATGCCATCAAGTGGAGGGAGCAAGCGGCAAGAGTTAAGCCACCCATGGATAACCACGAGTTGATCACTATTTTTCTGGAGGCTCAAGAGCCTGATTACTTTCAGAACATGATGTCCGCGATGGGTAGACCTTTTGCAGAAGCAATCAAAATAGGGGAGATGGTCGAAAATGGCCTCAAGACCGGAAGAATTGTAAGTCAAGCTGCACTCAAAGCCACCACCCAAGCTATCCAAAATGGGTCGGGAGGTTTGGCAAATAGAAAAAAGAGAGATGAAGGGTCCATGATGGCTTCGGGGTTTAGGGAGTTTCAAAGAGGGGCATTGCACCCTTATGTGCAAGTTCAGCAGGGGCAATCCAGCTACCCTGAACATTATTATCCCCCGCCAATTCATCAATACTCTGTGGGCCCACCACAATATATAGTGTTCAATGCTCAATCATATGCTCGGCCTCCCAATCAGCAGGTACGGGCACCAGCTCCAAGGGCCCCCCGACCTCAGCAGCAAAATTTTCGGGCACCCTATAATGCTCGTCCCAGGCAGGATTATGGTCGAGAGCAGAGGCCGGTAGAAAAATTCACTCCATTGGCTGAATCATATTCTAGTCTATTCCAGAAGCTGAAGCAAATGGGCGTAATTGGACCCATCGCTCCCCACCATATGCATCCCGATTCGCATGGATTTCAAGCAATATCATCCCGGTGTCCCAGGGCATAGCACTGATGACTGTTGGACTCTGAAAGGAGCCATAGAAAGACTCATTTCTGAAAAATTGATTGCAGTGACGAATGGCGAGGACCCTCCTAACGTGACAAACAACTCGTTGCCTGCACACAATGATGTTCATTTTGTGGGAATGATTGGCCGAGACCAAGATACAAGCCGGTCGGTCGAGCAGAAATGACAGTGGGTGCAATTCAAGAAGGAGCAGGTCTGGAAGTAAGTCCCAGCCGAGATGTGCCATTGATTGTGAAAGGCGCCCAGAACTCAAATAAGGCAACTTTATTTGTTCCAAAGATCTCGAGGTTGGAAGTTCACTCTAGTGTTCCAAGCCCAAGGTTATATGTACTTGGAGGCCATCCTATCAAAAGGGAGAAGCAGGGAGGTACGAAAGGTATAACAAAGCCGATCGTAATCAAACCTGCCATGCAACCCCCTGTAACCAACACAAAAACCACTCCTTGGAACTACAACAAAACGGTGATGACCTACAAAGGCAAGGAAATCATAAAGGAAGTGGGGGAAACTGAAGGTTTGACTCGATCAGGGAGATGTTACTCTCCAGAAGAGTTGAGGAAGGCCAAGCAAATTAGAGAAGGCCATTTGCCAATAAAGAAGCCAGCCACTGAAGCAGATGCGGAAGAGTTTTTGAAAAAGATGAAAGTTCAGGATTACTCAATCATTGACCAGCTAAGAAAGACCGCCGCTCAAATTTCTCTACTAACTCTTCTCCTACATCCAAAGAGCATGCCCGTGTACTAATCAAGGTCCTGAACGAGGCATATATCTCAGAGGAGACCACAGTGAATTAGTTAGAGAAGATGGCCAACAGATTTTTTGAGGTGAACAGAATCTCCTTTACTGATGATGAACTTCCCGAGGAGGGAGCTGGGCACAATAGGGATTTGAACTTGATGGTCAAATGTGAGGGTCATTATGTAAAGCGAGTCATGGTCGATGGAGGCTCAAGTGTAGATGTATGCCCTCTCTCTACCTTGCAAATACAGACAGAATCTGACCCAGCAATGTTCGCATCCGGGCTTTTGATGGCTCAGCAAGAGATACCATGAGGGAGAGCAACCTCACCATGACGATTGGGCCAGTTGACTTTGAGATTGTCTTCCAAGTAGTGGACATGGCCACTTCTTATAACTTTCTTCTTGGAAGGCCATGGATCTATACGGACCGAGCTGTGCCATCCACCTTGCATCAGATGCTCAAATTCGAACATGACAGGCAAGAAATTATTGTTCACGGAGAAGACGAGTCTTCCATTTATAAAGACCCTTTAATCCCCTGCATTGAGGCCAAGGAAGGGTCGGAGTCCATTGTCTATCAGGCTTTTGAAGTGGTTGCGGTGGACCATGTCGAGGAAGGAAAGCCCATTCTTCATCCTCTTCTTTCCACCACATCTGTAATGGTGGCTGCAGTTATGATGAGACAAGGTTATAAGCCAGGAAAAGGCTTGGGGGCATCATTGCAAGGAATTTCGGAGCCTATTTCTCCGTTCGGTAACCAGGGTACTTTTGGATTGGGCTTCAGGCCAACACAAGCAGACGAAAATAAAGCCAAACACCGCAAAAAGCATGGATGGGTCTTGCAACAGCCTATCCCTCATATTTTCTACACTTTTGTCAAGCCACGACTCCGAGAGGGTCAAAATTCCTCGGCGCATGCAAACATTGATGAAATTTGCCAAGGCCTCAGCGAGATGTTTTCTGAAGTGAATATAATCCAGGCTGGTGAAGGCACTAGTCGTGCCGATATGCAACTAATTGACCCAGACACCATGCTCACCAACTGGGAAGCAACTCCTCTCCCCACAAGGAAGGAGTCTTGGTAGTTTGCTTTTGCAACTTCTTTTTTGTATTTTGGGTTATTTTCAGGGTTGTAATCCAAACATCTCAGTATGATTGTTTTGTTTTGATGTTAACCCTTCTATCCTTTCAAATTCAATGAAATGCAGTTCAGTTTCCTATTAAGTTTTCTATCTTTTCCTTTTCCTAATTCCTGTCATTTTATTTCCATTTCAGTTTTGTTAGTGCCGGCTTTAATAACATGACATGCATGCGGAATTCACGCCCAGATCTTAAAAAGCTGTCTAATATCAAAATAATGCATCAAGAGGTTGAATATGATGAATATGAGGTTGTTGAGGAAATAAAAAGAGAGTTGGAACAATTTGAAAACAAGCCTAAGCCAAACCTCAATGAAACTGAGCCGATTAATATAGAAAGTCATGAAGAAGTTAGAGAAACGAAGATAAGCATTCACACTGAACAAAAAACCAGAGATGCCTTGATTCAACTTTTATTTGAATATAGAGATGTGTTTGCTTGGTCTTACGATGATATGCCGGGTTTAAGTGCTGATCTGGTGGTTCATAAGCTTCCTACGTATCCTGGTTTTCCACCCGTCCAACAAAAGCAACGAAAATTTAAAACAAACATGAGTGACAAAATCAAAGAGGAAATAATGAAGCAACTGAGCGCTAATGTGGTCAGAGCTGTCCGATACACCACCTGGGTGGCAAATGTTGTGCCTGTGCCGAAGAAGGATGGAAAAACCAGAGTCTGTGTTGACTATAGGGACCTGAACAAAGCAAGACCATTCTTGTAGATAATTGCACAAAGCATGAGATACAATCGTTCGTGGATTGCTATGCTGGGTACCACCAAATTCTAATGGATGAGGATGATGCAGAAAAGACCGCTTTCACCATTCCATGGGGTACTTATTGTTACAGGGTCATGCCATTCGGTTTAAAGAATGCAGGGGCAACTTACATGAGGGCCATGACCACCATTTTTCACGACATGATGCACAAAGAGATTGAAGTATATGTCGATGATGTCATCATAAAATCAAAGACACAAGCTGATCACGTGTGTGATTTGAAAAAGTTCTTCGAACGGCTTCAAAGGTATGAACTTAAGCTTAATCCAGCCAAGTGTGCATTTGGGGTTCCATCTGGGAAACTCCTCGGTTTTATAATCAGCCGGAGAGACATCGAATTAGATCCATCTAAGATAAAGTCCATTAGAGATCTGCCACCCCCGAAGAACAAAAAGGAAGTCATGAGTTTGCTCGGGAGGTTGAACTACATCAGTAGGTTCATTGCTCAGCTCACAACCACGTGCAAGCCCATCTTTAAGTTGCTGAAAAAAGATCCCGCTATCAGGTGGACAGACGATTGCCAAAAAGATTTTGACATGATCAAAGATTATCTGTCAAAACCCCCTGTACAGGTCCCACCTGAACCTGGTAGGCCTTTGTTTTTATATCTATCGGTGATGGATAATTCCTTTGGATGCGTTATGGGGCAACATGATGCAACAGGCAATCTATTATTTGAGCAAGAAGTTCACCAATTATGAGGTTAAATACACCCTTTTAGAAAAGACATGTTGTGCCTTGACTTGGGTCGCTCAGAAGCTGAGACATTATCTTTTGGCCTACACTACTTACCTCATATCCAGAATGGATCCTTTGAAGTACATCTTCCAAAAGCCAATACCCACTGGCAGGCTCGCAAAATGGCAAATCCTGATCACAGAGTTTGACATCGTCTATGTCACTCGCGCCGCGATAAAGCACAGGCTTTGGCAGATCATTTGGCAGAGAATCCAGTTGATAATGAGTACATGCCACTTAGCACATACTTCCCAGACGAAGAGGTCAACTCAATAGAGGAAGTGGTTTCAGACGATCACCCTGTATGGAAAATGTATTTTGATGGGGCTGTCAATATCAAAGGAGTTGGGATCGGGGCAATCCTCATCTCACCTATTGGACACCATTACCCTACAACGACCCGACTTCGGTTCTTCTGTACCAATAATACGGCAGAATACGAAGCTTGTATCATGGGTTTGAAAATGGCCATCGATCTGGATGTGCATGAACTATTGGTTATGGGAGATTCTGACTTGCTTATCCGGCAAGCCCAAGGTGAATGGGAGACTCGAGACATCAAGCTTATTCCGTACAGACAATGTGTGCAAGACTTGATCAAAAGATTCAAATCCATCGAGTTCAGGTACATTCCCAGGTTTCACAACGAGCTAGCCGATGCCTTGGCTACTTTAGCCATGATGCTCCCTTATCCAGGCAACACTCATATTGATCCATTAGAAATCCAAGTTCGTAATCAACACGGTTACTGCAATACAATTGAGACAGAACCAGATGGTGAACCATGGTATCATGACATAAAACGATTCCTGAAAACAAGAGAATATCCAGAGCATGCTAAAGGAGATCAAAAAAGAACTATAAGGCGGCTCGCCAGTGGTTTCTTCCTAAATGGGGAAATTCCGTACAAGAGGACCCCAGATTTAAACTTGTTGAGATGCATAGATGCTACAGAAGCAGAGCGGATCATGAGTGAAGTGCATTCGGGGGTACGTGGACCTCACATGAATGGATATGTTTTGGCAAAGAAGATTCTGCGGGTAGGGTATTATTGGCTTACTATGGAGCGAGATTGCTTCAGTTTTGTTCGCAAGTGTCACCAATTCCAGATTCATAGTGATCTGATTCACTCGCCTCCTTCAGAGTTGCATCCCATGTCCTCTCCTTGGCCTTTCGTTGCTTGGGAAATGGATGTTATTGGGCCAATCGAGACAAAGGCTTCAAATGGGCATAGATTCATTTTGGTTGCAATTGATTACTTCACCAAGTGGGTGGAGGCCGTCACTTTCAAAGCAGTCACCAAGAAAGCAGTGGTAGACTTTGTTCATTCTAACATCATCTGCCGCTTTGGTATCCCAAAGACCATTATCACTGACAATGCAGCCAATTTAAATAGTCATGATGAAGGAGGTATGCGAACAGTTTAAAATCATGCATCGTCATTCTACCCCTTACCGGCCAAAAGCCAATGGAGCGGTTGAAGCGGCAAACAAGAACATCAAGAAGATTCTTAGGAAAATGATCCAAGGTTCCAGGAAATGGCATGAAAAGTTGCCTTTTGCTCTTTTGGGATACCGCACGACTGTTCGCACATCTGTTGGTGCAACTCCGTATCTGCTTGTATATGGAACTGAAGCTGTAATACCCGCTGAAGTCGAAATTCCTTCTCTCCGAATTATTGTGGAATCAGAGATTGAAGACACTAAGTGGGTCAAGACCCGATTAGAACAACTGATGTTGATCGATGAAAAATGGCTAGCAGCAGTGTGTTTCGGCCAGTTATACCAGCAAAGAATGGCACGCGCTTACAATAAGAAAGTGCGTCCAAGGCAATTTGAGATAGGCCAGTTGGTTTTGAGACGCATCCTTCCGCACCAGGTAGAAGCTAAAGGAAAGTTCGCCCCGAACTGGCAAGGACCCTACATCATCAAGAAAGTGTTACCAAAAGGGGCCTTGCACTTGGTTGATGAGAAGGACGGGTACCAGACATAACTATTAACACAGATGCAGTCAAAAGATATTATGTCTGATATATACCCACTGTAGAATTTTCACGCATTGATTTTCTCAGATCGAAGTGACGAAGGCTATCATTTGCTAGCTATTCCAAATAGGTGTCACCCTTTTGTTAATACTTTTTGAGAAGTATTTGTCTTCCTTGTTTCTCACTTTTTAGAAAATGTGTACTTGTAAAAAAAAAGCCAAACAACATATCTCTGAGTCATTGAACTACGTCCGACCTGATTCCAAAAGGATACGTAGGCAGCCTTAACCTGGGTTCGGTCCCATCAGAACAAAAAATCCATATTCCCAATACTCCAAAACCGGGGCAGAAGTTTGTTTTATTTCACGGTTTTTTCTGTAAAAACGGTTCCAAAAGTTGTAATTCAGTTCAAGGCCCATTTCGCCTTTTTACCTTTCAAGAACTTCTGATCGATGTCTTTTGAGAATGTTTGAAGTCCCCATGCCAAAAGCGTTGGGTAACCTCCCTCATGCAGTATCTTATTCAAAAAAAAAACAAAAAAAAATGAGAGAGTCTTATCAGTGAAAACCCGTACAGGCACTATAAGGCGACAGTGAGCAGAGAAATGAGAGAGTCTTATTGGTAAAAACCCAGATAGGCACCATAAGGCGACGGTTAGTAGAGAAATGAGAGAGGTTAGTTAGCGAAAACCTGCAAAAGTCGCTACTAGCCGAATGAGGGTCTTTGATTCTCCGGCATGAGCACAACCAAGACAAATTCAAGATGAACGTTTGCGGCGGATTTTGAGAATTAGACAGCTTAGACGGATCAGGCGTCCAGTCCAAAATGCATGTCATGATTCATTGAAGTCGGCACATACCTCCAGATAAGTCTCCTTATTAATTTCCCCGAAAGGGACACATTTTGTTTAAACACAGTTCTTTTTCACTTTCAATTATTATTCTGTTTTTACCCAAAATTTTTCTTTGAGTCCCTTTCGGTCTGATCCTGCATTAAAATCGAAGCAAAGAAATGGCTGCAAAACTAGCTACAATTCCCCCGTACTATCGAGCACAATTTGGGGCATATATGGCATTCACGAAGGCACGAATCCATCTGAGATCTCATCTGATAAAGCGAACAAAGTGTTTCAAAGAAACTGAAAAGTCGCATGAGCAAGACCCGCTTCATGAGAAAAGTTGATAAGCACTACGGACACAAACTGATACTGGGTGCAAAACAACTGAGTTCGATTTTAAAAAAAAATTGTGTTGCCTTAGAGACAAGGGTAGCGGCACCATGGTCATCTGGGTATAAAACAGTTGGGGGCAACACTGGAAAGCCGAGGCCTCCAGAAAATGATACAAAGCGGTCGAGCAACTCGGTACTATGCTGAAAGAATCGTTTCTTCGACAGCAGTGGCCGTGAATCAAACTACTCAAGGCATCAAGGCCATAAACCAACCACCACTTTGAAAACTCATAAATTTTTCTTTGCTGGAAGCAGGAACAAAGCAGTGCAGAATGGCGATCCTAAAAGAATGAATGTCACCAAACGTAAGCTCCTTAAAATCTCCATTTTCTTTTATTTTTTAGCATGCATCACTACTGTTCATACCTCCCATTTTCGTAGCTTAACTCAGGTAGAACCGTTTCACCTAGGGGGATCCAGCTCATAGTTACGGGTAGAAGTACTCTTCACTCAGGGTGTTTTACACAGCTTAGCTCAGGAAGAATCCTTTTGCCTAGAGGGATCCAGCTCATAGTTCCGGGTAGAAGTACTCTTCGCTCAGGATGTTTTACGTAACTTAACTCAGGTAGAATCCTTTCGCCTAGGGGTATCCAGCTCATAGTTCCGGGTAGAAGTACTCTTTGCTCAGGATGTTTTACGCAGCTTAACTCAGGTAGAATCCTTTCGCCTAGGGGGATCCAGCTCATAGTTCCGAGTAGAAGTACTCTTCGCTCAGGGTGTTTTACACAACTTAACTCAGGTAGAATCATTTCGCCTAGGGGGATCCAGCTCATGGTTCCGAGTAAAAGTACTCTTCGCTCAGGTTGTTTTACGCAGTTTAACTCAGGCGGAACCATTTCACCTAGAGGGATTCAACACTTTATCAGTAATACATGATGCTAACACCTGATTCTATTTCCTTTCAGTAAGATAGGGTGCCGGCCCCTGGTTACGTTTCCCTTCAGTAGTACGGGAACCGATCTCTGGTTGCACAATCATTTGTTACCAAATTTTATCTCTTTTAGCTAGTTTATACTACTGTTTCTGTTTGTCTTTCAATAAATTAGATAGTTTTATAGCTTTCGTTAATAACTCACAAAATTTTCCTAGTCCAAACTGGGGCAGAAAATTTTTGTTTGTTTTGTTCATCTTTGATGGCTTTGCAGGCCTCGCCGCAGAGCACAGGTTATGACGATCGAAGCTTGCAGTTTCGGTTATGATCAGAAGGACGATCACAGGATAGTTTGGGTTTAACTTTGACAACGTGTCAGCAACACAACTTCTCAAGTTTCATTTTCTCAAAATTCTGATCCAGAAAGCAAGCAACCGAGATTGAGTCATAATCTCTTCTTTAAAGAGAATCAAGATCCAGTCTAAGATCAACACAAGAGAGCAAGTCAAGAATCAAGATTTGACTCCAGAAGACACATAGATAGGAATTTTGTACTCTTAGTTTTCAGACATATGTAGTGCTCTTATCTTTTTCTTTTTATGTAAGAAGCGAGTAACAGTAACATCAGCAGTAGCAGCAACAGCAGTCTTAACTCCAGTGTCTGGTAGTCCCAGCTACCAAACTTTTCTAGAACTACATTGACCTGATTCCTTTACGGCCAAGGATATGTAGGAAACCTCGGAAGCAAGGTTCGGTCACCCCTTTTTCAAAAATGCCTTCATTAGAGTCATAGTTGAGAAAATGTTAGTCATGGCATTCACTATCTTTGCACGAAAACTCTTCATGTTCTCGAGCAAAGAGGGGCAGCTGTAAATCATGCCTAATTTTTGCTCGTCTTTTCTTTTTTCTTTACATTATAATTTTTAGAATTCTTATGTGTGTATTTTTAGGCTTTTAAATTAGATTATGTTAAATAATTTGATATGGGGGTTAAAGGATTGGACTAGTGTATCTTGACTAAAATTGAACCAAAATTGGCCCAAAATTAGGAGCCCAAAGAGTCTACTGATTCGGTCCAATTGGGGCTCCCAGGGGATAGTCTAAATGATGTAGTTTTAGATTGAAACTACATCGTTTTGGTTAAGTGATCAAGATCAAATCCTGGCCACCTATTTTTTTTGATCCAATGGTCCAAAATTGATGTCATTTGAGGTATATAATTTTAGAAAATCTGATTTTTTGGCCTCATTTTCCATACATGCCCAAGTCCTAGACCTCTTCTTCTCTCTTCTTCCTCTCCGCCGCCTAGCGCCGCCGCCGGAAATCGCCCACCGGCGGCGGCCAACCTCCAAACACCACAAAAATTTCACCCCCTACTTCCCCCAACCTCCTCTTTCCAAATCTCCAACCCAAATCCCTCAAAACCCAGTCAAACTCCACGATTTTTAGATCTAAGAAAACCCACAACCCACTTTTTCCTTAAAATCGTGAAGATTGAGCCATCTCCTCTACCTAATACCTATATGGATGGATGGAGCTCGGTGTGGGCTACCTACAGATTTGGCCTCGACCCAAATTCCGGCGACCAGATTCCGGCGGGTCGCCGGCAGTCACCAAAAATGGCGAATATCTCTGCTTTTCTCTATATTCTGACCTAGAGCAAGTTTTTATTGTTGATTACACTGAAATTGAACTCCGGTTCACCTGAGTTTAAATGTTTCAGTGTTTATCAACAATAAGAGCTTGCTCGAGATCGAACACTTCTCGAACCGGCACCACTGCCGCCGCACCACCACCACCCCAATGGTCGAAATTAGGTAAAATCGATTCCCTTTCTCCCAGCCCCTGATTTTCTATTTTTGTTCGCGTTTGTTGTTAGTGGTTTTGTTTTATTTTAATTCTGTTAGTTTTCGTTTAGCTTAATGATTAATCTAATTTTTAAT